CCCTTTCGCCGCCATTTCTGTTTGGTCCCCTTAATTGATACCACCGTCTTAACCCGAATAGAACGCCGGGTCATTGTCGATGTGTCTAGACGGGAACGTGCCCCAAATACAGCTAGAATGACCGTGCGTTCTATTTGGGGGGAGGAATGTATTGCCACCGTCCGTCGCAGGATCGCAGGCGATCGACGGCTTCTCGGCCAATCTGGACGAGGTCCCACTAGCAAAGAGGATTGGCTTGCACGCCTGAATCTGGACGGCTTTGTGCAAAGGTGCAGAGAAAGTCGAGACTGAACCACTTCTCATCTGGACGGCTTCGTGCAGAGGTGCAGAAAGTCGAGATTGAACTGCTTTTCTGCATCTGTGCTTACAAAACGGCTAGATTCAGGAGCCGACTCCAATCCTCTTTGCTAGTGTGACTTCGTCCATCCTCTGCCATCCTCCGTTGTAGTTTAAACTTTCAAAATTTCCTTTTTGGGTGCTACCTCCGGACTTTCGCATTGTTGTTGTCAGCGATGATAAATCCTCCCTCCCCCCCCCCCATTGTTTTTCCTCTTTATCGGTTGTTTCTTTTTTTTTTAATCGGGTGTTTCTTGTTTTTATCGAGACCGTCATAAGGATTTTTGGTGGTGTTTAGCACTTCTCGTTTGTTCTATTTTTTCTTTTCGTTTCTTTTTTTTAGCCCCCTCCGTTACCCCTTGAGCGTTTGTTCTGATTGTCTCGAGTCAATTATGGTCATGTCGATTTTTTTTTCGGTTTTTTTGCGTTGACTTCTTGAGAATTTGAGAGGTGCAATTATTATTATTTATTATTATTTTTATTTTCTTTTTCTTACTACAACATCTTGTGAAGACCTCCGGTCCCGCGGTGATAAGAGTTCCGACGGGCTCGAGGCTTCTTAGATGACTCCTGGGCCCTGGGGCATGGTCCCACTAGCAAAGAGGATCGGATCGAATGCCTGAATCTGGACGTGTTTGTCGAGACGTGCAGGAAATCGAGATTGAACTGCTTTTCTGCATCTCTGCGTAAAACACGTCCACATTCAGGCATTCGATCCGATCCTCTTTGCTAATCGGACCCCGGCCCTGTACATTGGTGGGGAGCTTCACCTGCTGGAAAACGGCTCCAGCGTCGAACTTCTCAGAAAAAAAAAAAAAAAAGAAGAAGAAATACTGGGAGCATAACCCAGCTTCGCTTGGATACTGAGGCTCTGAACTGCAAGATCTCTCAACTGCAGGATCTCTGAACTGCAGGATCTCTCAGCCCCTGGGGCCGCTTGATTCTAGTGCGCGTTGAGTTGTTGAGTTTTTTTTTTTTTTTTTTTTTTTTTTTT